TATTTACACTCACAGTACCATTATAAAACTGAATCACATATTAAAATTATACTTGATTGATAATTGATAAGAATTATTTATCTGATAAGACGTTCGTTTCATTTATATTATTTTTTTCAAACTGTTAAAGTAATTGCTAAATACGTTTCCTGGAAGAAAAAAAAACAACAATTTCCAAATTCATTCATAATAATAATAATAATTAACGACTGGTAAACAATTAGATTTATAATAACAATAATTATTATAAAGTACGTTAGCGTATATTACAAATTAGCTATATTACAAATTAAAATACTGTTCATTAAAAATAAATTAAACAATTCTTATTACATAAATTATTTACAACGCTAATCTTCGCGAACTGGGAATCATAAGTCTGTAAATACAATAAAAAAAAGTACAATAAATATTGATTAGATTGGATTTCGTGTTTAGTTACCCATAGTTTCCTGCTGGATTTCCACTTTATACGTTGGATTATCGTAAGCGGATTGGCTGACTCTCGGGGGCGGCGTTATGCACGCCTTGTTTTGACTGTGCCTCTTGAATAGGATTAATAATAACACTAGTGTGGACAAAATCGCGACCGAGGCTAAAATAGCAACGACCACCAACGAACCGTAGTAATCTGACTTTTCGTCAGGCAATTCACCCGATAATTTATCTGAAATCAATTCATACAGTTGTTTGCTTTTCATATTAAATATTTAAATTATGTTAAACTTGCCTTGTTTGGAAGACGCTCCTAGAGATGGAGGTGATCTGGGTTTGGTTATGAAGTCTTGCACGTTACTAGTTTTGATTTTACCATTGGTTAGGTAAACCTCGAGCCACAGTCTATATCTGGTTCCAGGTTTCAGGTCAGTGATCAGCACTTTCGGCGTTGAATCTCTTTTAGCCATTTTGAACGTGCTCGAATCACCTTTCCCGGAATCACTTTGGTAGATCGCTCTATAGATATTTACATATTTATCTTCGGGATATGGAACGCCCGACCAAGTGATCTCTATATTCGTCGGTTTAATCAATGATATTTCCAACGTAACATTGAATCCGTACGTATCGTATTCCGTTGTGGTGGCGAAATTCACCATGTGCTCGGCGTAGAGTTCGTTCGGTTGTCCAGCGAAAGGAATGAAAAACAGGCCGACCTCGTACTTGGTGTCCGGCTTCAAATTGTCTATGGTGAAACCAGTGATCGCCCTATGGATCAGGGCGGTAGCATTGTAAATTTTACCATCGATTTCTTTGAATCGTATTTGAAGACCGTCTATTAATTGCAACTCGTAATCTGTAAACTTCCTCCACGACAAGTTGACCCAAGTTGCGTTTACAGCAGTAACAGCGAGTTCCGGATCGATGGGGATCATTTGCGGCGTGCTCACTTTGTTCTCCTGCAGCGTTTTGATCGAATAAATCTGGCTGCTTGGTTTGTTGTGCAATCCATCCAGTTGCAAGGTCACCTTGATCTTGTATTCGGTTTCCGCCCTGAGGTTCAGCAATTCGAATTCCAACTGGGGCGTTCGTATAACGTCATCGGGGGATGTGTAATTCTGCAGTTGCCAAGTATCAACATCTGGATTGCTAGAAAATGAAAATGTTACTTATTAGTTGGTGCTATTGCGTAGGTAAGAATAGCTTACTTTGAATCTGTATATCTAACTTCGACTCCTCCGCGCAATCCAACGAATACTGTAGGAACTGTAAAGACCAGACGAACCGTGTGTGCGTCTAACGCTTCTAAGATATCCACATTAACATCTGAAGATGCAAAGTTGTGTTGATAGACTCCGAAATCTAAAATGCAGAACGGTTAGTGTCGATTTGCCAGTTTTTCAAGAATTGAATTTGTTGAGAGACCTGTCGCGTTTTGATGTGATGGTTGTCCGTTTGTGAATGGGTGATTGGGCGGTATAAAAATGTGACCGTTGTTGTTAATGGGATAATGAGGTGGAAAGGGTGGTATTTGCGGTGGAAGTGCTGGCCTATTCTTGTGCACTTCTTGTAAAAGTTGTTCGATGGTCGCGTGGTTCTTGTTAAACGGAATTTCCAAATTATTGTTCGGATTCGGATTGATGGGGATATGCTGAATACCGAAAATGGGATAATTTCCACCAAACTGAGGCTGTTGGTTCAGCAGGTGACTCAAGTCCCCTCCTAGAACGGATGGAGGATTCGATTGTGGGACGATTGCGTTAGTGGTCGGTGGAGTGACGTACACTTTGTTCGGTTTAGATTTGATATCTTTTTGCGGTTTAGGGGTTGGCTTGTAGGCGGGATTGAAAGGCCCCAAGTATTCCCCGTTGGCCGTCGGCTTTTTATCAAAGTAATTGTTTTCTTGGCCGGACAGCACTTTTTTGGTAACGTTTTGCTTTTCATTGATTCCGTTCGTCAACACTACCAGAGGACCTACAGTTTTCGATGGAGGTTTTTCCTCTTGCGTGCCTGAAATATTATCAACTTCTTGTTCACATCCTTTTAATAAATACTTAAAAATTTATATGAATATATATATACAGGAAGATTACAATAGATTACAAATCTATTAAAATGTTCGTTTAATATTGAACGCTTTCGAAAATTGTTAAGGTTCGAAATTATTTAAAAAGAAATATTGTTTTCTTATAAATCATTAAGTAAGAATATTTACAAAAGAACAAAAGAAAACCCAAACCCAAGTGTAATGATCGGAAGATTAAGGGATATTTACAAAAGGAAGTTTAGTCGGTCGAAAGATGATTTAAAGAGTATCGCAATTAACTTACTGTTGATTTTACTTTCTTCCTTGCAAGTCCAGTATACGCAGCAATCTTCGCCCGGCATATGACCGAGAGTCGCATGTTGCGGAAGACAATCGAGATTTGATGGTGGATGTGCTGTCACCGGTGGACAGATGTTCTGGCATTCAACATTGTTCATTTCGCAGTAACAGCGTTTTTGGCAACCGGTAACGTTCTCTGGAATCTGCTGCCAGTTCGGATAGGTTACTCCTTGATAAATGCAGCTACCATTATTCTTGCAACGCAACTTCTCCGGACAACATTTCGGCGCGATCGGCGTGAAATTCGTGGGAACCGTTTCCCATTCGATGCAGTTCGGATCCAGAACATCAGTTCCAAAGTACGTGGGACAATCCATTTTCAAGCATTTCACTCCTTCCTCCTTGCACACGCAAAACGATTCGCAACCATCGTTGAATTCTGCGCCGAACTTGTACATCTCACCTTTAAATTCGCACCCTTCATTATTGTACTCTTGAATCTCTACAAAGTCGTCCGACTCTTCTATGCGTGCATACTTGAAGTTATTATCTATATTCGTCAAGAAACCTCCAGATAATGGAGTATACGTTTTCCATGAATTCTTGTCCTCGCTCACTTCGATCAACGGCAAGGTTTGGTTTCCTTCGAATTCCAATTTTATAGCTGACTGGTTAATGTATTTAGCACCTATGAGTTTGTTGTCGTTCAATGTCACATCGCAAATCACTTTCATACAGCACGCATCATTTTCATCTTTGATCTTCAGACATTTATCGTTCAACGTTGTCAGAGGTGGACAGCGTTCCTTGCAATCCATGTGACCATCATTTTGACAAGTGCAAATCTCTTCGCAGTCATCTTTGACGATATCTCCAAATTGATAAGATTTATTTTTATGGTTGCAACCTGTCTCATGTGTATCAGAAGTGCATTGCATCACCGAACAACAGCTGTCTTCCTCTACTAATTTTTCTTTGCACAGAGGATCGTCGATTTTTTTACCCCTTCTAATGAACGGCCTTTGACATCTATCGACGCAATCCATCTTACCCTTGACACATGTACAGACTGAATCGCAACCGACTTCCAACTTTTCACCTTCCTCGTAGGTCAATCCACCTTTTTCGCAAACTCCTAAATAGAACACACTTTAGTTTAAACATCACATTCTACGAAACTTTAATGCTTCAATACCTTTAGTTGAATTAATCATTTTAGGTGCTAATATTTTAGGTATAAAATCGTCGTCGTCATCATCATCATCCATACTAACATCACTCAGATCTTTAGACGGTTTTAACCCATTCAAATCCAAAGATTTTCCGGATTTTGTCGCTGCCGTTGATTGCGGATGATCTTCCACTATCATGCTCATTATTTCCGGTTTGCTTGCTGGATCCAACGCAACAGCAACTAAAATCAAACATGCATTTCGTTATTTAAAAATAAAACAGTTATAGAAAGATGTGAAGTAATTTATTCTAATTCTGAAAATTAAAATATGTGTGTTAATGCTACTTCATTTGTGTTTGCAACATAATGAGAATAAGATCACAGGAAAGAAACACTTCTTCACATTATATAATTAGGAAAACAATAATATAATTTAAATATAAGAGTAAAGTGCATGAGCAGAGGAAGAATGAAAATAAAAGAGACCTTTTGTATTTTGTAAAATCCAATAAGTCACGAACGTGAAGAGGATGAAATTTTGCAATTAACGTTCCTCGTGCATCCTTGAAACAATTATTTCAGAGAGTCTCTGAAATGTCGAAGCATCTCTTCGTTTGAATCTCGAAACATCTAACAGTTAAATTAATAAATTGCAAGTTGGTCTCAATTACCCACGAAAATGGATTACGTTATTTCTGTTTTTTCTTTTTTTTTTTGCAAAATAGAATCACACATGCGTTCCATTTGTGGGTCGTTGAACAACAATACAATAACAACAACAACAGCAACAAAAAACTTCCAAACAATTGTCAGACACAATGGACAAAACAACACACGAAATTGGAACGCGAAGAGATGGAAAGATAGCTAATTTACCGCGGCTTTCACTATTATAAAACTCTGTATTCTTTATTATTCTACTGCACGTTTGATACAATGCAGTAGTTTCATAAAAAAAATAAAATAATTCACATTTAAATTATATCACTAACTTACTTTATTTATTTAGGTAATTTGTCTATTTTTTTTTTATTTAATACTTAAATTAAAATTTAAGTTAATTTGTTAGTCAAATAAGACTCAACACAAAGTTGATTTTTTTGAAGATTTGGTTTGTGTGTCAGTGAGAAGAGGCCGTTGTACTTCTTTCATTGGGGAAGAGAAAGTCGAAATTCGGCGCTTGCGAACATACCACAACGATTTAGCACGAAGTTGGATAGTTTGAAACTGTACTCTATTTGCTTCCAGTCGTAATAAATGCAAATAAATCTTAAGATTTACTTGATATCATGACCTTGAATTAGATCAAAAGTTTCAACAACAATTTGAATTAGCACCAAAATCATCAATTGCATGTACCAGTTTATTTATAATAGTTTTGTTTAGCGTACTTCCCGATTGAATTCATAGAGATACACAAAAACACAAAGATTAGTCTCTAAACATCGACTAAAGATAATTAAAAACGAAAACTCTGTACCGTTTGTACAAGGTCAATCGGAATTTGCTGCTGCTGTATTATTACATCTTCAATACTGCCGCATAGAAATCGATTCCTGGATCTCAGTTTTCGATCACGAGATTTCACTGGGATTAGATTGTTTCTGGTTTCAAGTTATCATAAGCAAATCGAGAATTTCTTGAGACAAACAAGTCTCTCGACCTTGCGTCCAACATTAATTCGCGAGGCAAGACAAACAAACGTCTCCGCGTGCGATTCTGCACGGAGCTTTCTACGAGGGACAACATTTTCTCCTCGCAATCCTCATTATTGAATTTAATTTTCTTTCATTTCGCAATCGTTTTCCACCGAGATTAAAGCCCGCATCGCGATTGGATTTTTAGAAAACAATTTGAAAACGGATTCGCGACGACAACTGCGGCGTTTATTTATTTATGCAAGTTCTTTTCGATCGAGGTTAACAAGAAATTGCAAAAAAAAAAATATAGTATTTTCAATGCGAGTAATATTTTCAATTTATAAATATTTGCGTCTTACGTGTATAGTAAGACGAGTTCAATTCTATACATGCGTCTATTCTGAATATATTAAATGGTACACATGACGAAGGTTTTAAATATAATATTTATTCATCGCACAAGACGACAACTATAACCAGTTTCTGGTATAACGCGTTACCAAATTCTCTTCAAATTTAGTTGTATTCTTTTTATATTTCTAGAAATATTACTTACTCAAGACAATTATATAAATGCAATTAAAGATCTGCTGTTTTTCTTTTATTAAAGATTACATTCGTCAATGATACACAAATAAGTATACACAAAAAATAGTGAGTTTCAAGGTCGTTTATATATTTGAACACGCTACATCATTTATTAGTAAAAAAATGTAGTAATATCTATTGGTAAAATGTATATTTGCGTTTCTCAGGAAATCGGGATTTCCTCCCAAGTTTATTTTACTTTAAATTCTTTTTTTTAATGTAATTTCTGTTCGCCTTTTCCGTGTCAATGTCGTTGTGGAATCGGTTGTGGGTCGAAGAATTCTTTATTTGCCTGAACCGTTATCGAGTCAAAGTAGTCCGTTAGCTCGAGTTTGGAATTGGCAACAAAATTCTTTCATGCGCGGCCTCCCAACAAAACCGAATTCAGCGTGTAACGTTTCCGTTTTTTTTTTTTATCAACTTCAACTTCGACCTAACAAAACGAGGTTCTGATTAACGTTCGCTCCGTAAACACGAATTAAAACATTTTACAGGATTCGTAGTAAATGAATGATGATAATTCGAAACTGGTTCAGAAGAGTTGACTGAACGTCCGTCCAAAAACGGCGAATCTACTGCATTCATGCCAAGTCGTATTTATATGTCTCTTTATTATTTTTGTAATTTAAAATTTCTCGTTCACACATAAATATAGTCACAAATTAAGTAAATTTTTGTCCTTTCATAAGTAAAATACAACTTCAATTATTATTAGTTAGTATTGTATTGTGACAGTGGCGTAACAAGAAGTGGATGAGCCCTTTAATTGAATTTGTTTGTCCCAGTAAAAATTTTATTTGGAAGACACAAACAAATTTAAATTTGTCCCAGGAAAAGTATTCGACTTTGTTTTGATGTGTTAACAATTAAAAATACAGCTTGTTCATTATATCCTATGGGATAAGGCAATGGTCGGCAAAGTGCGGCTCCAGAGCCGCATGTGGTTTTTTGGCTCCTTAAGTGCGGCTCTGGCACAAATATCCACGTAGGCGCAACAACATAGAAACCTTACTTACTCAAACTTTCCAAGGAGATGCAAGCACGTTGTTCGCATTAATAAATATTTATTAAGTATGAAATTTAGTTTTATAACTTTTAACAAGCAGATTTGGCTCTCATTTTTTTTTAAATTGTTGTAATGTTCATATTTGGCTCTTTGGCTAATAAATTTGCCGACCACTTCCCTATGGGATGAGGGGTTCAAGTTTTAATATGTTTCTTATTTTTAAGATGTACAGACTCGAATTGCATCGCATGAAACAGTCGCTGTTATAAAACATGTGGTAGGTATAATTGTTTGCAAAATTTCTTAATTTGTTACAAGAAATTTCAATTCCCTAATGAATTCTGATTATTTGTGTTAACAATTCAATGAATTTTTCAGTATTATGAAACCCCGACTGTGTATTTTATATTGATACGTTATTTTCATCTTAATTCTACAATAATTTTGAACAAATTCACAATTCCTAATTGACATTCTATTTTACATTTCGTGTAACACAATTAACACGAATCGTGTTAAAACATATTGGTTTCACAGTAGCTTGAAACGTCACGGAATGCGTCATCAATGAAAACAAAACGAAAGAAGAACAAAAAAGAAAGAAAGAGAATCATTAGCATTGAATGAAAGTGCCGAAAATATCATCATCATCAAAAAAAAACAAATCAATTCCCACTTATGCAATTGGGGAAACTAAATTTTTGACTCACACAATCCGTCGACCTTAATTCACTTTACCGGATCTAAAGATTGCGACTTCGAATTGTTGCAGACGGAGGAGTGAAGAATCTGGAAAAACCCCGCATTCATTTATATATTTACTCGTAATTTTTATTTCGCTCTGCACATAATTATTACATTTTTATTCAAATCGTGTCACGCTCCCATTCTTCGTTGCAAATGACCGCAGCAGCAGCAGCAAGCGAATTAATTAGCAAATCCGAACGATTTCCTGTCCCGCGCGCTTCCCGTTCAATTTGCATACAAGTTAATAAATTAGTTGTTTATTTTTAAATCTGATCTAAACAACAATCGGATCGAAACTTAATTCCATTCATAACGAGTTTTTTTTGCTGGACGTTACGCAATTGGCATTAAAATGCGCTGCAGCGGTAAACGTTAATGTTTTACACACGTCAACATTTAGTTTCAGTAAATTTTAGTATATTTCTATTTTCAGATGAGTTATTTATGGAGATCTCCTATTTTAGATACACATTAATTCTTAACGATATGTTAATGTGCAATCATACCATCATTACGCATTAACTTTTTATTTAAAAAAATGTAAATACAGTGGAACCTCGCTTAACGAGCAAAATGAATTGTAAGAAAAATGACTCGCTTAACGAACGACGTTTCGCATAACGAGTGACGATGAGAAGAGAAGTCCCGAATTTCGCACCTTTTACATCATTTTTCAAACTTGTGTACACAAATTATATGTGTATTTTTGAGTATGTTTCACAATACTAGTAAAAATCCGGATATTTTGGAACGGATTAAACTCGTTAAGCGAGGTTCCACTGTATTAAAATAATTAGAAAAATTTGTAAAATCATTTTCTTCATTTCTTTAATAATGTCTAATAAATTGAATTATTTTTAAAACTATAAAAACAAAATATTGTTGTTATAAATAAGTTGAAGTTTAAGCTATTTCCTAATAAATGTACATGATATATATCTATTAAGTAAGATCAACTTTTGACTTAAGTCTAATTAGCTTAGAACTATATTAATTTATATAATTAGCAAAATCGAAATGCATTATGATAATAATTACCAATAAAACTCCCAAAATTACAGTTTCTTTCTTCTCAATCATTCTTCTATGGAGAAATCTTGTGAGCATTTTTTGTACTTCGTAAATCTTAAGTCAAGATATTATTTAGTTTTTTTTTTTAATTTCACTTTTAGCAAAATTTATTTTAATATCAAATATAAGCTGAAATTAGTTTATTGATGAAATGAGTAACTGTTATTCTATATAATCAAATATTGTAGACTTGATACAAGTTAAATAGCAAAGATATTAATGAGTCATTGCAAATCAGCGTTTACAAATAGCGCTTTTCAAAATCAATCATTTTTTTTTATAAAATTACTACTATCAAATCAATTTCGGAATAATTAGGGCCTTAACACCCATAAGAATTGATGTATTTCATTACTATTAAAATATATTTTTATAAATACATAATTTTGATAATAATTAAGTTAAAATTTAACATAATATACAAAAACTTCACTATATTACAAAGTTTGGATTTAAAAATCATCTTATCGTCATTCTGCTATGATTTAACATATACTTACATTATTATAGTAAAGTTGCTTGATTCAATATTTAGAGTGAAAATTCGAACTTTTGTGAAAAGTCACGACAAGAAACTTTTAAAATTTCTTAGAAGAACAATTTAAAAAGAAATGAAATATTATGGTTAATTTTAATAAAATATTATATAAATATTCTGGAAAACGAATAAATAACTGCGATAAAACATTGCATTGTATAAATAAATATTGACTGGGATAGATGAATAATGTGATTTTGATGCAGAAATGAAATGTGATGTTCGCGTGAAAGTCTGGGCCGGAAAATTACCCGTTCAACGACCGACGTGACATTCTCCCATGCACACAGTTATATAGCTGAAATAAATCTCGGAGGATTCAACGGAAATTGTTTGGCTTTTGCGATTTCGCTCCAGTTGAATAACATATTTTTAATAGAGTTAATTAGAAGAAAAAAAGAAATAATTGTGGGCACTCGTTAGCATCCGTTACAAAACAAAACAATTTTTATAAATTATTCGATCAACTAATTGCTTAAAACTGTAATTTAATTAAATGATTATAAGCAAATTAATTGTGTTTCGCATCCGTGGAAAGAAAGTACCATCGCATGATTTGAATGCGCACTTATTTCTTTTCTTCTCTGGTCGAGAAAAAGTTGATGATGGAATGATGAAAGTTTCCATTGATTTAATGATAAAACAATTCGTAATGAAATTTGGTTATTTATGTAGGTGTTATTGTTTAGATTAATTAATTTGTGAATGGTTATGCTAAGGCTCCGCTTTCGAAGATGAAGAAGTTAACTAAAAAAAGGTACCTGCTTGGATTTTGGGGTCACGCAAGAGGTAGCCTGTAATTATAGAAAGGAATCTCACCGTTTTCTATGTTATCCTTCTGGGTTGCATTCGGTGGATTACCTGCTTGGATTTCCAACGCACAAACACCACCTATTGCCGCAAACAACAAGAGCGTCCACCGAAACTTCACGCACATTTTCATAATTGTCCGTTTCTTCTATAACAAATCTAACTTTTCAGTCTAAAAATACGTGTATACGTGTGAACACTATATTACTCTTTAATTCTATGTATCCAGTTTTGGCTTTGCGGAGGACGACGATGGGGAGCGCACAGAACAACAGTTAGAATTCATCGCATTTGCGGCCGTCCGCGGTGAATGCTCACGACTCGATCGTTCGTGCGGTCAGTCGACACTGAGGAACGCTCTTCTTGGTGCTGGCCGCCGCTCGACACACCGAAGCACAACATCTCAAACTTCGGGACATCCCTAGAAAAGTTTCATATTCTGAATTCCAAGAACCATAAAAACTTTTACTTTTCAAAATATATTAATCACCGCTTTGTCCGCAAGCTGCAACTCGTATCTGCACTTGACCCAAATCTAACTCTACGATATGTATATCACTGGGTCATCAATTTAAGATCAAGTCATCGTGCATTTGAACATTTACATATATTTATAAGTTAAACTTATTAACTACATAAGTAAATTTAAACATATAAATGGAAATTAAATTTTATTTGTCTTAACTACTTCACTTTTCATATTTCATTACATCTCATTTCTTATAAAAAAAAAATAACTTAAGTCTTGTGAATATTATGCAATATTTTGTATTATTGGTTGCCTATAAATCACAAAGAATATTACATGAACATCTCTTATTGTTAACTTATCGTGAAATTAAATTGATTACATTTTCATGTAAAACAATGAAATTGCTATTACAATTACAATTTATTATTAAATGATTATTATTACAACTAATTAATACGTTGCATTTCTATATTAGAAACCAATAATTAAAATCGTTCAAAAAGTATATCTTGCGTGTGTATTAATTTATTTTGTTGCAAAATTGGAATAGATTTCGAATTCCTTCAAGTAACGATCTGCCATATCGTAAAGGAACCGAAATTGCTCCTAAAAAATAAATAATAATTGGGTGTTAGACTGGACAAAAGTAAATTGATTGAAAAAAAATATACTTCAGTTTGCACGAATTGCTTCCTACTCCTTCGGATTGTCCTCACCGCATGACAAACGTCACAGATTTGCTCGAATTTGATTTTCTCTAGCATGAAGGAGAGCGCGATGAAGAGTCCGCAACCGCTTGCCCCATCCTTGCACGTAACTAAAATCTGCTTGCTGTTGGCGATGAGACGATGTGTTTCGCTGCAGATGTTCAGAAAGGTGGAAGGATTCGGTGGGCATTGTTCACCGAATTGCCATCCTTCCAACTCAATAACCACCAACTGCTTTTGGTTCTTGTTGAAGTGCATGTTTATCCAGATCAACTTGTACCTTTCGCATATTTCGATTTTCGATAGTTCAATGTTGTAGTTGTCGGAGGTGATCTTCTCCAAGTTTTCGTTCGGGTAGAAATTGCAGCAGGTCTACAATTTGATTTGTGTGCGAAATGTTCAAGATTATTTTTTAGTAGTGTTTACCTTATCATCGAGATCCAATTCCTGTAAACTGACTATAACCCTGATGTCATATTCGTAGGCCAGTCGCCAAAAATCCGCCAAAGTATTGGGCATCGGCTGTTGCGTAGCAATGAATCTTCCCAGCAACATGAAACTATCGACGGACACTGCATTTATGTAATTCGATGATTGAGAGTTGACTATTGGTGATAAGTAGATCAATCCGTGTTTGTAGGGAACAATGTCTGGAAACCTATCCTTCTCGGGATCGTGCTGCTTCAAACTGCTGCGGTTGTTCATGATTATATCCTCGTACCAAGCGCTGCTCTCTATATATTCCATCTGGTATGTTATGTCTATGTTGGATATAAGTGTTTCAAAGTTTTCGTCGCACGGGAATGCCGTGTCCGGTGTTACTAGACATTCGAGAAGAACGAGGTGTGCGAATTTGTATTGTTGCGGTGTGTCCACCATTTTCGATCTTTGCTCTCGAAGAGATTTCAGATGATAGAAGACGTCCAACGCGCCGATCTGTGAGACCATTCGTAAGCATAAATCTATTAAAATAATTGTTCCAGTTCGACCGACGCCCGCGCTGCAGTGAACCAAAATCGGAGAAGTGTTCTGTGGTACTTTCAAAATTGTCCTAGCAAATGGTACCACGCTGCTTGGGTACATCGGAACACCGTGGTCCGGCCATGTAGTGTAATGCAAATGCACAATCTGCGAACGTCCAAAACATATTTAACTATTTATATATTGAATCTAAATCTCTTACTTTTCGATTTTGGTTATTAAATTTAATTTCAAACAGACGCTCTTCGTAATCGGGGAATACTTCGAAGGAACAGTGTTTGATTGTTATTGATCCGTAATTCGTAGTTTCTCCAACATCGGGCCAATACTTTTCCGACTTTTTCTTCACACCTTCGTACACGTTCGTCAACATAACAATGTGAGTGACGTTTTGCTCCCAGACCATCCTCCAGAAGTCTACAAGGGTATTTTCTTTCGGCGCTTGTGCTGCTATGTAAGCGCGTTCCGTATCCAAACCCTAAATAAAATATATAAAAAAACAGCCAAAAAAACAACTTTCATGACTACTCACGTGAATGTAATTTGCATTGATGTAATCGGAACATTCATCGTCTTTGATTTTCTTCAGAACGACTCGGCTATGATCGTAGGCGACGATATTGGCGTACCGGTTCTTCGGTTTATTCTTCGGAAGCTTTCCGTACTCGCAGTCGATGTTGCTGAGTTGATTGAGCATAGTCTGAAAAACGTATTATTGTTAAAGCTTAATAAACTAAAATTATTGGTAACTTACTTCGTATTGCTTTTCCAATTCGTTGTTCTGAATGCTGCTCTTAACGTATTGTTCGAAATCGGAGATTTTTACCAATTTCGTGTACTCCTCCACGTTCAGTCTCGGAATTTCTGGTATATTCTGAATGTCCTGAACCTTCGGTTCCTCCTCCGGGGGATTTTGTCGCAGGATTCCCCAATCTGGATAAAACAGTGTTAAACAATCGTCGCATTTCCATTAATTATACTTACTTGTGGGATGCATCGAAATGAGCATTCCCGGACGCTGAATATTCTTTATAAGTTTTCTTTTATAAATGTATATACCTAGAATTATTACGATGGGAATAAGCAGTAGATATACGAGATTAACATTTTGTCCAGTTAGATCAGTCATTGTATATGTAGTATTTGCAGGAATAAAATAACCATTCCGCCTCATTTCGTTGCTGTTGATATTGGTTAATATAATATTAATATCAGCCATTGCGCTATCATCCAATAATAGATTCTCAAAATAGCAATTTAAATACTTTGAAAATGCATTTGTTTGGCTACTATTACCAACGACGATACTCTTCTGTTCGAAATCATTTGTTAATTCAATAGCAATCCATCCGTTTTTCAATGAATCATTCAACTTATTCGGAGTACATAAGTTACCTACGACAACGGTTTTCATTTGCGTCACGACTATATGAATATAACTGCAAATAATTTAAATTATTTCAAATAATAATTGTAGAGTATTAATACTGTTGATACCTCTTTGTTGCTGGATTTACAAATTTCGGAATCAATATTTCTAAACTATGATTATTGTTCTTAAATTTCTTTGGTTCTGCCGCCAACTTTGGTTTTGCTACAGGACATTTTATAGTAAGTTCGGAACCTTTTGATTCATACTTTTTATTCTTTGTTGATACTTTTAGTGTCAACAATTTGTTACTACTTGAACAAATCTCTTCTTCGTTTATCTAAAAAAAAATATAATAAAATATTTACAAAACATTGGAATTATTCAGTTTGAACCTTGTGAGTGTATGTAAGATTCTCTTGCGTTGTAAAGTTCATATTTTTATCTTCGTATGAAATAATAAATTTGTCAAATTCACCGTTCATANNGATCTATAATTATTTTGAACATTAATAACTAAACGTACAATTTCATTAACAAAATATACCTCTTTCTTGACAATTACTAAGAATAGAATATGATTTAGTATCAGACACATTCATATTTCTTAATGTAACCTGAAATTAATGATTTGATTATTTTTGCTTATTATACGAATAAAACATTATTTCTCATTATGTACCGTCAATGTGTAACAATTTTTTGTATTCAGTGTTGAACAAAATCGATTCTTCCAAATGCTGCAATTGTCCCATGTAGAGTTTTCATTGTTTATTCGAATTTCTTCTAAAATTCCAGTAGGCGGATAAGGCATGTCAAAGACTAACGAAAATCCGACATCGGAAATTGAATATACATCCACATTTCGTAACTCGTTCGGAACTGAAACATTGATTTATTTAAAGTTTTTACAAAATATTGTTTCTTATTAAATTATGATCCTTAAGATTCTCAAGTATTGTGAATTAGTTTCTCCGAGTTAAGAGAATTTAAGAACAAAATATTCACAATACTTGAGAATCTTAAAGATCATAATTTATTAAGAAAGATTATTTGTAAAAACTATAAGCTAATATATAAGTATATTACTTGATGGTTTAGTCATAACATGCATTGGTTGCATGGCCACAGTATTTTCAAAATAGAATTTCGTTGCCATCTCGATTAAAATGGTATAATTTGTAAATGCTTTCAAATTTTCATCAAATAATAAATTTTGATTGTAATGATACTTTCGTGTCATATTTTTACACCAACTATCAAAACATTGTAAATTTAATCTGAATGCAACGTCGGATTCGATTCGCTCACAATTCTTTTTTAAATAGACACTGATTGTCTCAGACGTTAATGAAATGTTATCGATTTTATAACTATCTTGATTTGGTATATCTAAAATCAAATATTAACAATTATTCTTATAAAATAAGTATAACCCTTTTTATACCTCTAGAATTAGTGTTTTTAGATATGCGCATCTCTTCGCCAGCATATTTATTAAAAGCTTGCACTTCAAAAACGTACGTCGAATGTGGCCGTAAGTTACTTATTTCAACAAATTTAGTTTCAACGTAAACCTTTTGCGGTTCGATCAAATGTTTCAAACTTTCTTTGCAGTCATCCGTCGGTTGTAGCTGAAACAGAATAAATAAATATCTAAACGCTAATAAATTACATGGTTAATATACTGTATACGTGATGGAATAGTTCACAATTTTTCCAACTGATTCATCTGGAGGTTTCCAAGATAAGTAAATCGATGTAATGTTTGATTTAGTTTCAACTTTGCTAATTGGTCCAGGATCTAAAAAAACTTTATTAAAAATACAATTCACATTAAATGTTAGTCAAACAAACTTTCTTCATCTGTTGTTTTATCGTACTTAAATACGAGTTGATTATTTCTCCAAAATTGAATCATATAATTAGAATTTGGCTCTAATTCATTGCTGGAAACATATCTTACGTTTTTTTCATCAAATAATTTTATTGTATATTGATCGCCTGTACATTTTTCTACATCATCACTTTCCTAAAAACGATGTTCTTATTAAAACTTAATTATTTTAATTAAAAATATTTTTTTTAATTACTTTTAAATAGAATGACATTTGTCTGCTTTCTATATTTTCCGAGACATCGCTTCTTTCCAAATCTAAAAACAATATAGAACAATATTATTTACTTAGGAATTATAATTAACATAATTACCTTTGCAATCTGTATTTAAATCAAATAATGGTACAAATTCTCCTTCCATGCACTCGTCTTTATGACACAACACAATTCTTAACTGGTATTTTGTCAGAATATTTAATTTATCAAGTGATATATATTTGTCATTTATATTTTTGTCATAAATAACTTTCCAATTTCCGGCTTCAAATACTTCCACTTTGTATGAATCTGGTCTCTTACGTCCTTCATACTTCTCCGGATTAAATTTTATATTACATGTAGTGTAACAAGGTGTTTCAGCAACAGGGGCTTCTTTTAAATATGGTAAATTAGCTGAAACATGCAATTAAATAATTAATTATCTTTAATTGAATATAATAATTATGATTTACTCTCATTGCAGAATGGCTCTACGAAATACATTTCGCATCCGTTCGGACAGTTTCCAGTAATATGATGACATTGTGCCTTATCTTTGCAGTTACCACATTTCTCATTACAATTCGATCCAAATACGTTTTTCTTCAGGTTGTCACATTCTTAAAATAAATAATTAATTATTTCTGTGTGTGCGATTATATTTGTATGTACTTGGTTTGCATTGTTTTCCATAGAATCCTGGTTGACAGTAGCATTTGTTTGTCTCTACACAGGTCAGCGTTTCCTCGCAAATATCCGTGTTAAAGACAGATTTACATTTGATGCAGTCGTTTCCAAATTTATCGATTGAACAATTGCTATCTGTAAAAATGTAAATTACAAACGAGAAAATAATATTATACAAAATATAATACCTATTGTTTTAATACTATCGCTTATTGTAATGGATGTACTCAGATTGTTCAAAGATTCGCAAGAAACTTGATTTATTAGATTAGTATGAAATTCCGTATAAATTTTATTGATATTCGTATCGCAATCTGAATTCAGTTTAATATGACTAATAAGAAGACCTCTCACGTCTCCTTTTATTAACCAAATTGTGTATGGTGTATTATCGTCTTGCACATTTTCTACTATTTTGATGAATTTCCAACGTTTCTAAAATATTTTATTTAATAAATTATATATTCCATTAATACAACAATACTTTTTCATTTATAAATATGATCTCCTTAATGATAGTTTTATCTTGTTTTATTTGAATTATTAATTCATGATCAAAATAAAAATAAGCGGACATGCATAACTTATTGTTAAAAGACTGTATGTCATCCAAGAACACAATATTTGACACATCATAATCCGTTCGATAATATTCGTCTAAAAAAGTAAATAGTTTAAATACATTTTTAATCGATTTATATTATAATCACATATGTGCAGTTTCCAAATTGCGCCTTTCATCGATTTCATATAAATGCTACTTAAACCATAGTTACGAATATAATCTTCTGCTATAGATATTCCATTCAGTAACAAAGTATATATGTCTTTACGATATCTTATAGTATAGTGATTCCACGAATATTTACTATATTGTGAAAATTTTTCCAAATTCTGAAAAACAAAATGTTAGTTTCAGATTATTCTCTCTTGAAATATATTATTTACCTCTTTTATATTTATATATGCATCACAATAATAGGCCGAAGTTTTTGCTGGACATATTTGTGATGTTAGTATATTATTTTTAAATGATATTGTTTGCTTCAAATTCCTATAAGAATAAATTGACATTTCGGCATCCTCGTCATATTTTATCGAAAACGTTAATTCAAAGTATTCATTCAAATTTTGCTTCAAATATTTATTTACTTCTTGATAATTTTTACTTACAAACGTTTCGAAATCTAAAAATAAAATAGAATGTAGTCACACATCAACCAACATAAATCGCCCAATTTTACTTTGCCACCTGGGATCTACAACTGGTCCTAAATAAGATTGATAACTATCTTCCAATAGCCAATCATTAGGAACTAATTTAGTAATATCACTTGCATCATTACCTAAAATAAAAGATATTTTTTATTATATATTATAATAAACAACAAGAAACACTTACTTTTTAAATTATAAAACGATTTATCGTACGGTGTTATCCAACTTAAAGTTTCGCTTTCATTGTTTGTAACACAGTAGGTTTCCATTTTACCATTTCCACTATTTTTTTGGCTAACAGTCGTTATTCCTTTCGAATGTTGCACCATGCACAAATAAATTAAAGCACCGATTATAAACTTAAAATGATCCATTTTCTGCAAAGGAAAACGAACACTAAATGTTATTATTTTGTAATAATGTTAATATGTGAACTAAATCACATTTTTATATATCTAATCGAGACGCACTTCCTTCCTATCCGTTAACCACCACTGAATGAATAATTACATTTATATTTATTTTATAATTAGAGTAAATAAACATTACATTTTTAGTGTAAGCTTATTGTCTATACTGAAACAGGAATGTTCACTATCAAATAGAAAAGAAAAATAAAATTCTATACATTATGCATTTCAGATTTTAATACGATTTCTTTCAATCATTCTGCATCAAATATAGTGTAAAAAATAACTTTTAAAACGGTAGATATGTAAATCTTTGAAGTTTTTTTATATTATTGAAGAGGACAAACAAAAATTAAATTAAAACATACCAATTTCCGCTAAGCACATTAAACGGAAGGTCTACATATATTAAAAATAATATTTTTTATTATTACAAAATTGTCCGGTCATTGTAAAGAAAGAACAGTCTCTTTCTTTACAATGACAGATGCGTTTACTAGAGATTCAATCCAAGTTTTCTTTGGTTATAAACGGTTACATGAAATGATATTCGTTCTTTTCATTAATCGAATAATTTGTCCAGATTATAAACTAAGAAAATGTATTGGATGAAAATGATTTCAAATAATGTTCATGATATGATGACAAAATTTTATGTGGTCGAAAGTAAGATCAAATAAAAGGTGAAACCTTGATTCTCTCTGAAGAACAACAAAAAGCAAACGGTTATCAAATAGCGCTTCCTGTACTACCGATCACGTACGAAGGATGTGGGTGAGAGATTGTACGTAAGTTTATATTTAGTTTATTTATTATGGTTGTTATAATATAATTTAAAAAAAAATATTTAATTATTTATATATTATTTAACATTATATGTTATTATTGTGAAACTTCATGTTATGAACAAAATGGTTACGGTTTTCGTAAAGACATTTCGGAACGTAATAATATTAAGATAAATTGCAAAAGTAATTACTAACTAAACTTTATATTTTTGCACATCAAGTAATAATATTAATAGGAAATGAATGTTATGTGTAACCGTCGTTCGGAATATTCCACAAGTTATTCTAATTAATCACGTAAAAGTAACCGTTTGTATATTTGATGGATATATTAAATATGATTTGCAATAATTAAGAGGAAAGTAGTAGACGGCCACGACAATTTAATAACACTTGCATGTCTCCGAATAAAAAGCCAAAGATTTGGTTGAAGGTCCATATGCTGAACCTCATTCATTTGACTGCGCATCGAGAGGGCTCACAAAGGGCCTGACTTGACCAGGATATGAACCTGCGCCCACTAGCTCGTAGGTAGGACGACTTAACCATTCGGCAATTTATTTGCTTATGAAGTTATAAATTAAATTGGAAACTTCGTCCCATTTTTCTTGCAGGTTTTGCGTTGGATCTGCAAAACAGGTAATAAGAAACACCAACAATAAAATGCAATTAAAAAAATGCTCTTTATGTACTATAAGTTAAACTTTGTTAGAGTTTAATGGTTTGATCTAACTGGAATTGTGACTTCATAAACTGCATGCTGAAAGAGCTAAGGTTTAAGCAGTATGACTACTCATGCATAACTCAAATATGTAACCTATATCACATATCTATAAAAACATTTGAAACAATTGTGACTATAGAAAATTCTTTATTCTTATTCAGGTGCAAAAAAATAAATAAATTATATATTTGTTTTACATATGTATTTCCAGTATAATATTTATAGATTTCAATATTGTGTTCATTTAAAATAATTAATTTGTAAATTAATGTTGGATGAGGTTTGATCTTTATATTTTTATTAGTGGAAGCACTAAACGTGATTGCTTTCTTACAAAATGCGGCATCTGTATTTAAACAGAAGCGTTCCGAAGTCTGAAACAAACAGTTTGTTTGTTAAAGAAGTTGAACTCGCATAAAAAGAATTTCCTCGGTCTCCCGGATTCAAATGACTTGTTTGCTCCTTTTAATTTTAAAGTATCCGAGGATAATCAATCACCGAGACTCGATTCCCATTTATTTACCCTTTGGTTTCTTGCATCAATAGCGAACCGCAGAGGAAAGAAAAATAAAATAGGACAAAAGTGGTGAGGATACAAAGGCACAGAGAGGTCGACTTCTTCCAGATTAATTTCGGATCGAAAAGAGGAAGACAAAAAAGAAATAAAGAAGGGGGACAATTAATCTTCAGACGCGATTTATTCAGATTACATCGGCATAAAATTTAAACGGAACCCGTGGCTCTTTGTTTGGCCTTCGGCGACCGCCTTCAAACCCCGCAGGACGCACCTCTTCTCGAACGACGACAAAGAGGCCTTTGTTTTAAACTCAAGTGTACTTTACGGTCTCGGCTCTTTTTACCTTCTCGCCGTAGTAATTACACCCTGTTATGTGATACATCGCCTCAAAGTCTCCATCTAAAAGCCGGACCATCTTGTACAGCTTCTTTCGCATTCACTACTCTCTCGCTCGTTTCTTTCAAACTGAAATATTAAGCGCACGAAATCCCACTTTTTTTTTCTATTTTACACGTCGAGTTATATTGGAGAGAAGCTTCTTTTTTTATATATATATATATTCAATACCGGCTCTTAAGCCGCTCCTGAGGGTGGAATGAGTTTCTCTTTATTCCCCAGATATAAAAAATCCCGGCACCAATGAATGTCAATAGGAAATTAGTCGGGGGCGAAATCCACTTCGAATGGCTGCAGGGTGGGAAAAAAGGAGATTGAAAAATACCAAACCCGGCACATCCGCCGATTACTATTAGAAAGGCGAGATAGAATATCGAGGAGTTCTTATGATATCATCGGCAATATCGTCCTATACATACACACACACCTCGACGACAGGTGTCAAAACGTCTTTGCCGCTCGCGGATCGATTTTTAATAACGCCTCTCCGACGTTCGATGATGTTGCGGTTTCCCGCACACTTTTTTCCCTCTTCCCTCTATTTTCTCATCCCTTTCCTCCCTTTTTCCCTAATTTAATTTCAATATGGGCCGTTTACCGTCTATACCATTTACTCAAATCGGGAATCATCAATCATATTTCTCATTTAAACCAAATGCAAATATTGTTCCCTTTTTATCCTCCTTCCTTCCTCCCCCATAGACAAAACTCTCAGAAATAACAAAACTTTAAATAAGTTCTATTTACATATAAGCATTCAGAGTTGTCCAAATGTCAAAATAACATTTAAAAATGGAATTATTTTTTCATTTCTTAATAATTCATATTTAGTCTTTCATAAAGAGACAACACACTTTACAAATCAAATATTTTTTTGTTTTTATACACAAAAAAAAACAAATTTCTTGGAAATACATTTTATATAGTTCAATATGACGATAAAATTCAATTATTTTAACATTTACTTTAATAATATGAAAGAAAATTAATTATAAATAATTATGTAAATTTTAAATGACTTATAAATAAAATATTATTATGTGATAGAGATTATTTCTAATTTTAAACGTGTTTCCGCTTTGATAAAATTGTTTTTCTTCCTTCCCCGTAGACAAAACTCTCAGAACAAAATTTTAAGCATTCAGAGTTACCCAAAAGTCACAATAACATTTAAAAATGAAATTATTTTTTCATTTCTTAATAATTCATATTTAGTCTTTCATAAAGAGATAACACACTTTACAAATCAAATAAATTTTTGTTTTTATACACAAAAAAAAAACAAATTTCTTGGAAATACATTTTATTTAGTTCAATATGACAATAAAATTCAATTATTTTAACATTTACTTTAATAATATGAAAGAAAATTAATTATAAATAATTCTGTAAATTTTAAATGACTTATAAATAAAATATTATTATGTGATAGAGATTATTTCTAATTTTAAACGTATTTCCGCTTTGATAAAATTGTTTTGTTTCAGATATCACAAATAAATCTATTTTGGGAACGTATCCGTTTTCGACTTTTTATCGGAAATATGAATAATAAACTTACATAATTTAATTTTGCGCAATTTATAAGAAATAGTGAGCTGTGTGGGCGGTAGCACTATCTTGTTGCAACCATATTTCTGGTGTGTCCAAGATTACACGACGCATGAATTTCTCCAGTATTACATCTTCAAAGAAGTAAGGTCCAATGGCGCAAACATTATAATGTACATTGGTTTCAATGTCCCTTGTTCTACTCAATTTACTTGTCCACTAAAATAGTTTGGCAGTATTAAGATATTTGTAGGTTCTATGTACAATTTCCCGAGACGCAGTGCAGATGATAGCTAGTGTGTCACCAATATAGCTCCTTGTTCTGGAGAGAGGTGAGAGGCAAAGGGGCGCGACCAAAGCGGATGCTAGAGCCAGACTGCTACAAAAATGGCAAGATAAATGGCACAGGTCGGAGAAAGGAGCCTGGATTCGGCGCTTAATCCCGCAAATAGAGCCTTGGTTAAGCAGAAAGCACGGTGAAACAACATTTCACCTGAGCCAGGCGCTGTCTGGCCATGGATGCTTTGGCAAGTACCTGCACTTCATCGCGAAGAAGGAGGATGAAAGGTGTTGGTACTGTGAGGAGGACGATAGCCTTGAGCACACGCTTTTTGGAAGGAAGCACGAGGCGGAGGCAGAATTGGGAGTTCTGCTAGAGCCAGAAAATGCTATCAGTGAAATGCTGAAGAGTGCGGAGAGCTGGGATATTGTAGCGGCATATATATCAGAGGTGCTACTAAGCAAAGAAGAAGACGAGCGGATGCTGCAGAGGGCCTACGAGGATAGTGTCAATGGAGGCCAGCATTAACATGATGTAGGGGAAGTGCCAGAGAGGCAAAGACAATCAGCATCGTAGAGTAGTATACTGATGCAGGTCCTGAGAGGTTTTAGTGCGGTAAGAATCCCACAGTACCACGACTCCACCCGTGGTCCCTATGTAAGGTTTCCTCTTCTCTACCAAAAGTAGATGATGACGGGAAGAGATGTGAATCTGAATATATGTATAAAAATGTAGACTTTA